TAAACGGCTAAACATTGTGTTTTGTTTTTGAAACAGTTTATGTTTAGGCCAAACGCTCTTCCCACTGTATCAATAACATTTAAAAGGCATTTAGTCCATTTATGTCATCACTTAAAATAACTGTATCGCGTCTGCATATCTGATTGTATTTATCAGAATTCCATTAACTTTCACGCCCCATCCAAATTATGCAGCGCTTCTTTAAATATTCTATCTGAATATAAATTAAAATAACAGTGGGGGATAGTATACAACCCTGTCTGACACCTTTTTGTATTTAACATACATTTATTTCTGTTGATTTGCCGTTTATAACAAGCTGTCGCTGTTTGACGCCAGTAAAACTTTTCTATGAATCGTATGTCTTGACTATCAACTCCTTTATCTTTTAAATATTGTAAATAATTTGTGATTGCTGTACTCGATCAAAGCCTTTACATAGTCAATAAATACAGCAAAGACGTCTTTCCCTTAATCTCGATATTTCTGCATAAATACATTTAGTGCAAAGAGGGCGAATGATAAGGCTTATCATTCTATAATCGCTACAGTTTTTCGGGCGTTGTTTTTTTGGTAGTGTTATAAACATAGTCGAATAAACATCATTGAAAAGCTTGACCAGTATTCCAATGTTCTCCCTCATTGATAAGCTTTAACATCTCTGTCGGTATGTTATCATGGCCAACGGCTTTCTTGTTCTTTGCTAACTTTATAGCATACAGTATTTCTGATTTTAGTATTTCCATGGTCCTCTCCCCTTCAGGAAGGTCCAGTTCCTGTCTCCAGTTCTTCGGGTATATCATCATTATACAGTTCACTTATATAATTACACCAGGTTGTTCGAATTTTTCTTTAGCCACCTTTATTTTTTTGTTTAATTAGATTCTGTTTTTCCTTATATTATGTCTTGTTACCATTTCAGTTTTCTCTCTGCTCCATTAATTCCAGATTTCATCAGTCATCCATTGTGTTGTTTTTTGTGCCTATGTAACGTTGTGGAATATTTTTCTATTACTTTCAAGGTAAGATCTTTAAATGTGTTCCATATTTCTGTGTTTGTTTTCATTTATTGGTTTCTTTAGCTCATTGTTATGTCATTTTCTATTAACGTTTTTTGTTGGATATTGAGATATTTAATTTTGGTGTTTTGGGGCTTTCTTGGACTTTTTTGAGCTTCACTTTGATGTCAGTGAATAAGTCAGTCAGTCAATAAAGGCTACCTTTACTAAACGTCACTCTTCTGGTATATGCTCATGACCTAAAGCCTAAGTGTTCATTACTGCTGAAACTCGATGATAAGTGCGATCCCGAAGACAGTATTCAAACTACACTGGACATCTTCAATGGATTTCACAAACACTTACTGAGGTTGAACAAGTACAAAGTGTTCCTTTTTTAGACACTAACAAAGACCTACCTACTACCTACTACGTAGACCTACCTTTTAAGTGATAAGAACATAAGACAATAGAATCATTTTGGATTGGTATCAAACACCAACTAACTCTGGAAGATTTATAAATTACTTCTCTCGGCGCTCAAAAAGTCAAAAACATATCACTGTTATTGCGATTAAGAACAGAATTTCGCACATTAGCAATGATATTTTCTTACAAAAGGATTTCAAAAACATAAAATAAACAAAAAAGGAGACGTATAATAGAATGAGGTTAAAAATGAAGAATTATACTCACAAATCAAAATATTAAAGAAACAGATTCCACAAAATTACTATAGTATTATGCTCATTTTATAATAAACGTGTTCCCCCTGTAAATATATGCACACTCCTGTTTCGTTTTAATTGGTTGTACATCGCCAGAGGTAAGGCTTCTTCATGTTTGTTTTAGGTTTTTAACGTGCGGTTGGATTACCGCTCGGTTATATCCATTGTTAACGATTAAAGTACGTTTTTGATCCATTAAAGTATCAAATTTTAAAATATTGTCAGACGATTTCAAGCTACGTGTTGTATTGAACTTCTGTTCGTATCAGTTATTATTAAAATGTTGTTATTAGTTCAACTTATTACAAAAACTTGATTTTTAATGCAATTGTTTTTAATTAGTTATATCTAAGGAACGGACCTCGTAACGTCAAATAAAAATATTTTTTAACCCATCTGAAAAATACGTTTTGTCGAGTTCTGCAATAATATCGCTTCCGTGACGGCGATAACCTCCTGTTTCGACTAAAATTTCTGCCCGGCGAGAGCATTTTTCAAGTTTGGAAACAAAAAGAACTCACACGGGGCCAAATCTAAAGAATATGGCGTTCATATCTTCTTTTCGCTCGTCGCACAGGTCGAAAATTTGTTCGCGAACCGTCCGGATATGGTGAGATCCGGATGTGAACAGGTTCGAAAGTGACAGTTATACTGTATATAAAAAATCTTCATAGTATGCGTCCCACAGACCTTGTTTTTTTGTCCGAAACTTAGATTTAGTCGAAGGGAGTAAAACAATTTTCTGGCAAAGGCAACAGAGTTAAAAATGTATGTAAACGACCAGAAGGGTATGCTGGTAAACGTTTTATAATTGCTCAAACTGGTTCTTCAAAAGGTTTAGTGCTGAAGGGTATTTATTATTTTACTCAAAATGTAGCTGAATATAATCAGCTACTTTAATATAACAATTTATATAATTATATAATATTACATAAGGGGTACAACATGTGACTAAACCATCCTAAAAAATTGCTAGTAGGAGCGGTCATGGAGATACCCGCCAAAAACAGCTAAACGTACGGACTCCAGATAGGAAAGCACGATGCATCAGATAACAACATCTCTAGTCATATGCCGATGAGAGTGTTTCATCAAACAGACAACTAGGAGAAGCCAGAGTTATCTACAACAACTACAGCAAGTATACCAGAAAGATGAAAAAATCAGGATAAACAAAAGTGATGACCAATCTCGTCCCCATAAACAATAGAAATCGAAAGTCGCCCATAGAACTTGTGGAAAAGTATGTGTATTTGGGTCACGAAATAAGTTTCACGCGAGATAACAAACATGCGAGCTGCTCAGAAAAATAAAGTCTGGGTTGGACAGCTTTCGAAAAAATAGAGACGTCAAAACAAATATATCGATGCATTAAAAAGAAAAGCTTTTAACCAGTGCGTTTCTACCAGTCCTCACCGACCCATTACGAGCGAAAACCATTAAGCAGAAATATGAGAATCAATGCTTGGAATAACTAAGAAATAGAATAAGAAACAGGAAGTTACGTAAGACGAAGCGAGTGGAAGACAGTTATCGAACATATTACAAGGCAAAAATGGAGATGGGCAGGACATGTTGCAAGAATGAAAGACGAGATAGTTGGACAAAAAAATTGCTTGAGTGGAGAACCGGCGGAGGTCTGACCAAAGCGAAGCCGAGGAAGCTCCCTAACGGCGAAGGGACCGCTGACGCACCACAAAAGAAACGAGACCGTAAAAGGATAGCAGTAGGCGCAGAAAGAAGCAGATGGAAAATCTAGAGGAGGCCATATGTTTCAACAAATGGACAACTCAGGGCTGATTGATGAATGATGAATGAGCTGATTATTATCAGCTACATAGCACATTCAAGGAAAATGAACAATGAAATTTTCACTAAATGGATAAGTGAAGAACTAATTCTCAGTTTAGAAGAGCAATCATTAATTGTGACGGATAATGCTCCATATCACAGTTTGTTTTTAGTAAAGTAACCTCCCACTTCTCAACTAGAATGGAAATTATTACCTAGGTTAACAACGTAGCAACATCAAGCATAACATGCAAAACTAACAAAACCTGAATTATTAGAAAATGCAAATATGAACAGAGCTACTAAGAAAGAGAAAACGGCCATGCAGTGTTGAGACCTACCTCCGTATACCACTAACTACGAATTCCTCTCTTCTTTGTCACACATTTTTCCATCCACTCCTGAATGTATTGTGTCTCTCCCCAATTGCTTCCATCTTTCTCTGACTTGCGCCCAATCTAATGCCACTGTTTGCCTGCCACTGCTCTAATCATCTACGCCATCCTTTTTTGAGGTCTTCCCATTGCTTCTTGTTGTCTTTCCTTGGTCTCCATTCTAGAATTGTGTCCGCGTCCACCTGTTGTCATTATATCGGGCTACAGCCTAGCGCAGTTCATTTTTGTAATTCTTCCACAATATCCCAAATCTATCGTGTCTACGACAACTACGAATCAACGTTGTTTGAATTAAGTGTGGCGAAAACAACAAGACATAATTAGCAAAAAGTAATAAATGGTAGAGATGAACCGGGGTAGTGCTGTTATAAAAATATGGTGGAAAAGGGAGCACTAAACCAACGTAACACAGAAATTTGGGAAAACTGTGTGAGATATACTCATGAAATTATTAAAAAGTGGTCCATCCGAAAAAAAATATGGTTAACATTAACATTCAATCAATCATAATAGACACTGGTAATATAAGTAGCTTAGATTCTGACAGTGAAGAAATCTTTATGATTGTATACCATGCTTAAATAAATATTTAAAATAAAATTGTTTTTACCCAGCTCAAAAGTTTTCTATTTTTCAATTTATTATAATAGAGATCTCTTTATTTGAATTTTGTTAAGTCATTAATTTATTCTGAAAAGAATATTTAAAGTTGAATAAAACAAAATGATCAAGACGATGGAGCTCAATTTTTATATCATAACTCAGATAGTTGCTTATATGAATTGAAAATAATTGTATTTCTGATTACTGCGATTTAAATATTTTTAATATTTACTGTAGATGTTATTGGACAATCTGTATGTTTCAATAATCAGAAAATCACTTTCATGAATGTATATCCAATTTTCAAAATGCAGTAAATGAAATAAAAGAGAAGCATAAAAACGTCCATTGTAATATTAGCCATTTTCTAAATGCTCGAAGTACTCCAGCGTTCTCTTCTTGATATTATTTATAATCTCTTATAATGCTGAAAATAAACAATAATATAATAAATGTAAAAAATAAGAAGAAATTTATTATACAACTTATATTTTTTTATAATTTTTCTTAATTACATCTGAAATTTTTTCTGCAATCATATATACCGCAGCCATAAGATGGCCCCTCGTTATATCTGGAACTACCCCAGCATCAACTATTCTTAGATTTTTAAATGTGTGCACCAGACAGTTTTTATCCACAACAGAATCAGCTGCTGATGGACCCATTCTCGTCGTACTAGCAGGATGGTATTCGGTTGAGGTCATATGTTTAAAAGCACAGTACCAGTACTCTCTATCATTGTCTTTTAGATGTTCACAATTTGGTTGTTTGCTGATAAAAGTTGCTCCGATGCTTTTAAACGCTTCAGTATCAGCTAGGGACAAAATATATTTTATACCTTTATACATTGTTTCGAGATCTTGGCCTTTGGGATCAGAAAAGTAATTTAAATCTATTAAAGGAAAATCCAGAATATTGTTAGACTTAAGAGTGACACTTCCATGTGATTTGGGTTTCATTAACGACATCAAAATACCGACATCGGTCAAAGGATTATAATTGTCATACTGTTTGGCAAATTTATCTTGAAAATTATATGCCGCCTTTAAATCTCCTGGCACACCAAAGGGGGGAGCAAAGTTTAGAAACTCTATATCAGCTTCACCATCGGTGATGGTATCAACGTTGATAAAAGCGAGATGTTCTAAGGAAGCACCATTCGTTAAAGGAGCTTTACCTTCTAAATATAACTGAAGGTTTTCTTTTAAAGAGTTATTGGGAGTAGATATATTTGTTCTGAAATAAATATTAACAAATAAAGGATGATCTAGTAGATGTTGACCAACTGCTGGTAGATCTGCAATAACCGGAATTGCTAGGTCTTTAAGATGTTTTTTAGGACCGATTCCAGAAAGCATTAAAAGTTGTGGAGTGTTGATAGCTCCGGCAGATAATATTACTTCCATCTTGGCTTTTGCCTTATAGATTTTTCCATTTTTCACAAAAGTAACTCCTTTGGCCTTATGCTTCGTTAACAATATCTGATTAACAGCTGCATTAAGAACTATTTTTAAATTATCTCTATTTTTAATAGCATCGAGGAAAGCATGCTCACTTGTCTGATGCTTGTGGTCTTTTTGATTAAACTGAACTTTGGAAACTCCAAGCTGGTGTTCTCCATTATAATCTACTTCTTTTAAACCTTTTTCCATATGAGCTTTTAGAACTGTCTCACCCATCGTCGAATTTGGCGATGTATGATTAACAAACAATACGCCTTCTGTGCCGTGGTAGTATTTGTCGTACGATTCCATTGCCACATATTCCGATTTTTTAAAGTACGGAAGAACTTCTTCATATGACCATCCAGGGTTACCCATTGCTACCCAACTGTTGAAGTCTGAAGGACTTCCTCTAGCGTATATCGCAGCATTTAAAGTAGTACAACCTCCTATTACTTTTCCTCTTGGATACATACATTGGTGATTTTCCATCCCTAGAATGATTTAGTTAATTATAATTTAATTTATGAAAATAAACTACTAAATACCTTGACAACACGTAGTTTGTGGAGCTGTTAGATACCCCCAATTCATGTCTGTTTGTTGTAGATAATTGTTAAACTCAGGAACATCGCTAAAGTCATCAGTCTCACCTCCAGCTTCTAACAATAATATTTTCCATGAGCTTATTTCGGATAATCGGTTAGCTAAAACTGATCCGCCTGCGTCAGCACCAACAATAATAAAATCATAGCGGCCAAAATCTAAAAAAGTAAAATGTCAAAAAATTTGTTTTGCCAATATTTTGGTAATATCTTATTACAAAAGTAATTACTACTGGGAAATAATCAGAAATATTCGAAAAAATATTTATAATAATATCGGATTTTTTCTCCTAATGCCAAATTTTATTTGATGTCACAAAATGTTCTATAGAATTAAAAGTACAATAATCTTACACTTCTTGAAAATAACTTTATTCAATACCAACTTGTTTACAACCATAAACTATACTAAACTCATAGATAAATAGTATCATCATCACTTTGGCTCGACAATCCTCTGTGGATCTTGGCCTGCTCCAAGATTCGTCGCCATTCTGTTCGGTTTTTGGCAACATGTTGCCATCTTCTGATTTTTAATATTCGTAAGTCGGTTTCTACTCCATCTAACCACCTAATTCGCGGTCGGCCTTTGCTTCTTTTTTCCTACAGGTGTTCCTGTGGTTAGCTTTTTAGCAATGGTATTTTCTGGCATTCGTATTATGTGTCCAGCCCATCTAAGTCGCTGTGTTTTAATGAACGTTATGACATCTGGCTCATCAAAGAGCTGATACAATTTAAAATTATATCTTCTGCGCCACTGCCCTTGGTCGTTTACAGCTCCAAATATTTTAGCGTATTTTACGCTCAAATATTCCCAAAAGTCTTTCATCTTTCTGCGTTAGAGTCCATGTTTCTGCTCCATATGTGAGGACCAGCCTCAGCAATGTTTTGTATATAATTAGGGATAGCGGTACTATTTACAATACAAGTCTTAGCATATGCTGATGACATTGACATAGTAGGGCGTAGCAAGCGAGATGTTGAGCAATATCTTCTGGAATTGGAAACAGCAGCGAAACAGGTCGGTCTAGTCATTAACGAAGACAAAACCAAGTACATGTTGGTTACAAAGGATCCGATAGCAAATGAGGAACAAGAGACAGTCTTGGAAGTCATACCTTTGGACGTGTTGACAAACTTCACATACCTTGATCGCTATTGACGGCTACCAATAAAACAAGCGAAGAAATCAAAAGACGAATAAATCTTACAAATAGGGCATACCATGGACTCCAAAAGCATTACCACTCAAGAAACATTTAAAGATAAATAGTATAGTATATAGAAAACTAAACTCTTCTAAATTGTCAAGAACATCTGTTTATATATTTTTTCTGATGTTCCAAACTTTACTAGACATTTCATGAATTTTCGATGTTATTTTGATTGTTCTTGAATTACTTCTTTTTTGTCAGGAGAATTTTTCTATGAAGCTACGGAGAGAGACCGGCCCAAACCAAGCTCCAGAGAAAGCAATTTCCTCTGAGAAAAGAGCACCATAGAACCACTTCCATCCATACACTGAGAGACAATCAAGGCCGTATGATAATCAACGGTAAAGAAGTAACTGAAGAATAGAAAGAGTATTTTAGGGACCTTCTAAACATCATACAGGAAGAACAACACAAAGAAGAGATCTGTATCACAGAGGACATGCCCGTTAAAAATCCCTCCTTTGAAGATACTTGTTTCCTCCACTGCTCTAGCGATGATTGAATATATATTTTAAATAAGGTCGGAGATAGACAACATCTTTGTTTAAGCCCCTTTGTTATTGGAAATGATTCAGATGATTCAGATGAACTTCCCTTCGTTAACGACAATTCTTGCATTTTTGTATATATTTGCGATACCATCCACATACTTTCTACTGAGATCTACAAACAGTAGGTGGGTAGATAGATTCCTTGCCTTCCGTTTTTCGATTAATCTGCTGCAGAACGAATATACCATCAGTGCACGATCTTCCTGCATGTATTGTAGCATTTTCAATTTCATTGATTCTTTGAAGTATATTGAAGTCCCCTCGTATACGAAATATTAAAATCACCTTATATATTATTGATAGATCTAAAAATATTTCGTACGTATTTAAACCCAAATATCTTTTCATTTCTTTCTTAGGTCGGCCAAGTTGAAATAAACCATTTTAGAGTTGTTTATTTATTTTAACTTCCTCGGCAAATTCTTGTTTTATTAAAAGCCGCAATTTTAATGCGTCGCAAAAGGATATGTACGTCGTTTCGTGGTGTCTTGTTATGTCAGCGTTTGTATGTATGCGTTCAATTTTAATAGAATTTCTTCACTCTCGTTGGAGCAGCTTTCAACAGCGGTTCAGCGTTATGTCCAAATTCACGTCGAATTTGTAAAGTGTTCTGTTTTCGTCTTTTATTATGAAGAATATAATGTAGCAGTTTGTTATTGGTTTTGTGGCAGTAAATGCTTCAATTATTAATGTTTTGAGTGAGGATTGGAGGACATCCTCGTTTTGTTTTTCTTTTGTTCCTGCTTTTATCCAAGGCTTTTGGCAGTTTGGAGATGGAGGTTTTCGTGATGCAGAGAGAGTGGAGCCCTCAGTTCCAGGTTCCAGTTATGGTTTCAGAAACTTAAGTGTGATCATGTGAATTAAGGTAACATTTTGTTCAAATTTTAAACTAAAGACAGACATTTTTTTATGAAATAATAATTGCTTTCGTTGACATTTAAAATTGTAAATTTTAGGTTTTGAGTAAAGCTGTCAATTTGTGTTTAGTTTTTTTTTGAAATTTAATGTTAATTTATGACAGCTCGTTTTAGTATTTTTGATGTTGATTTGTTTTGTTTTTTTTTAAAAGGTTAACCTCCATGCAATTTTGTAAGTTTTGTAGCAATGGAGTTTGTTAATGGATGACACATGTAAGTTTTTGAATTTTGTATTTCTCCATGTAACTGTTTGTGGTGGACACATAAATAAAGGTTAAATTTTGTTGTCTTAACTTTTTATTTATTTTTTTTGAGCCAAACCTTTTTGAGTTTTATTTGAAAAAGATATGTTTTTTATGTTTTGATTTTGTTTTCTAATTATTTCCCTAGTTACAACTAGTGGTTGTAATAGGCATAATTAGGCACCTCAAGTGGCGCCCTATATTAAATTCCTTGAGGTGTTTCTTGTTTATTTTTATTTTGTTTATCCCAAGAGCCCTTTATTTAATTTTTTTGTAGTTGCCCCATTCCAATGCCCTTATCTTTTACTTATCCACGACCCCAGCTCTCCTACGAAACCCTGAGTGCCGTTCGCATCAGTAGCGATTATTTTGCTTGCCCTATCTCCACCCCCAATAGTTTTTTCCCCTAATTTTCTATCTCCCGTATTAATGCCCCCTGTGGTAGGCAAAATATGTTCGTTACAGTATTTGTATTCTGATTCTATTCTTTCTTTTATTATTCTACCGTACAACCTCCCCACTGAGCTGATAACTGTTATTCCCCTATAGTTAGAGCATTTGCGTTTATCCCCTTTCTTGAATATTGAGCTGATGTATAAAAAAAAGATACACACTGTATAATATAAAAGTTATACATTCCGGGGTTGGAGTGAATGGATTTCTTGAGGGGGAAGGTGGTTTTAAGGAGTACCTTAGTTTATAGAGCTTTCCTTTATCTGATATCTTGTAGCTTTTATTATAAATAAAAATAACGTACTGGGGCCTGACGATGAGGCAAATATTGTAAGCCTTAAAACTTTCTTCCTCTTAAAGTGCCCTCTCCTCAATGGAGGTTGGCTACTACAATTTTAAACTCTTCTCTATCTTCAGCTGTTCTTATTAGCTGTTCAAAATTTAGCCCTGTCCATTGTCGGATGTTTCTGAGCCACGATAGTCTTTTCCTTCCTAGGCCTCTCTTTCCCTCGATTTTTCCTTTCACTATAAGTTGGGCATATGGTACTTATTATTTCTCAGTATGTGGCCTAGGTATGATGTTTTTCTAACTTTTACTGTGTTAAAAAGTTCTCTTTCCTTGCCTATTCTATGCAGCACTTCTTCGTTTGAGGTATGCGATGTCCATGAAATTTTGAGTATTCTCCGGTAGATCCACATTTCAAAGGCCTCCAATTTATTTACGGTTGATGTTTTAAGGTCCACGTTTCAACTGCATATAGAAGAGTCGACCAGACGTAGCATTTTGATAAACGTAGTCGAATTTCGAGTTTTATTCGAGAATCACAAAGCAGTTTTTTTATTTTTTTGAAAGATTTTCTGGCCTGTTCTATTCTCGATCTTATTTCTTGATCAGGATTTAGGCTGCTATCGATCCAACATCCCAGGTACTTAAATCTATTGACCTGTTCTAAGATGTGCCCATTTATTGTGCAAGGTTGAGGTACGTTTTGGTTTTTTCGGATTGACATCACTTTGGTTTTTTTAATGTTTATTTTCATACCAAATTGCTCACAGGTCGAGTTGGTCTTGTCGATGAGTCGTTGTAGACCTGAGTCGGAATCCGCAATTAACACTGTATCATCGGCGTATCTGATACTGTTGATATTTACGCCATTCACCTTGACTCCATCCTTGGAATCCTCCAATGCTTCTTTAAATAGAAACTCGGAGTAAAGATTAAACAGCAGAGGCGACAGAACACATCCCTGTCTAACTCCCCTCCTAATTTCTACTTCTGCGGATGTGGAACCTTCGATCCTAACTCTGGCTTTTTGGTTCCAGTACAAGTTTTTTTAAGAATTTGATGTCTTTTCCATCTAAACCGACTTCTTGCAAACGTTCTAATAGTAGGTCGTGTCTTACTCTATCAAATGCTTTTTCGAAGTCTATAAAGCATATAAATATATCTTTCTGTTGGTCGTAGCATTTTTGGGCGAGAACTAGTAAACTGAACAGGGCTTCTCTCGTTCCCATGCCGGCTCTGAATCCAAACTGATCGTCTCCGATGATTGTTTCGCACTTTCTATAGATACGATTATGTACGATTTTAGTAGGACTTTTACTGCATGACTCATAAGGCTTATCAGACGGAACTCATTGCAGTGTTGTGGGTTTGGCTTTTTTGGTAGTGGGATGAATATTGACTCCAGCCAATCTTGGGGTATTTTACCTGTATCATAAATGCGATTGAATAAAAGGACAAATAATTCGATATTTTCTTCGCTGATTAATTTGAACGTT